AATAAGACCTCTGCACAACATCAAAACATAAACAAAACAGAAAGGATGGCTTGGAGGAGGACTTGTCAACATGTGAAATAACAATTTAGACAGCAGAGCAAAAATGAAGCAAACAAACTGAATTAATGCCAACAGCATCTAATTACCCAAACTTGTCCTTTTCATTGTGCAACAGCCTCTCCTTATTTGCTCTCTCTGAACCATTCTCTCCCTTTCCAAATTTGTTCTCTATAGCATTCCTATACCCCTGGGGAGATGTCTTCCACTACTTGCTCATTAGTGCTTCACAGTGGGGCTCAGATAATTTCTGAAGTTAAATTAGGTTTTGCATCCCCTTTGAATGCGTAATTGGAAATGGAAACAACTAAGACTTTCAGTCCCTACATCAAACTAATGTCTAGATGCAAAGTATTTTGTAAAACAGTTCTGGTTTATGCTGCGCTTCATCTCTGAAGTTCTATCATTAAAGGTGGTTTTCCAACAGAAAGTCCACATAAATTGAAGAGAGTGTAAAAAGTGCTGGTCTCCACTACTTTCACTGTTGCTAGCATCTGTGGGCTTCCAAGAATTCCAGAAAAGGTGTAGACACAGTCTTGTAACTGTGACTAGTCTATGCTAAAAAGCAAGTTCTTGTTAAACATGACCTTGAGACACCGTGTTAATGAGATTTTGTAGATGGGGATAAATCAATCAATCATGTTTAGCCTCTTGTTATGATGTTAAATATGACAGGTCCTGTTTATATTGACATCAAAGCTGTTTAAACTTCATGCTACGTAGACAGCTCTTTCAAAACACAACCAGGTCTTCTATATATAGTGAAGACAAGCTTATAGAAGGACTTCTGGAAGGTTAATTAGCACCATTCAACCACAGTGGTAGCCATTTAAAAAAAAGTACAAATTGTAGTCCAGATCCTCAACTGAAATGAACTGATTTGGCTCCAGTTAAGTCAACTGGAGTTATGCCAATTTACATCAGCTAAGTATCTGGTCCTGCATGTGGACTGCTCTTCACTTAAAAGGGTTTACCACTTCAGCTATACCAGCAAAACACCCCTACTAGAGATTTAACTAATGTAAACAGTATACATTCTTTCCCCAATATAGTGTAAAACAGTTCCCCAAAATGAATAAATTATAGCAGCAGAAGAGCTTTGTTTGCTGTTACAACTGTGTCTCAATTAGGATTTCTTTTGGAATAGCTAGGTCAGTTAGTGCTATGATTTTTTTTTATCATAGTCCTAGGAGATGCAGCTATATCAGCAACATTTTTAAGTGTAGAACAAGTCTCTGCAAAAAGAACACACTGCAGTTTTCCTTCTTATTCCAACCTCCTCATGTATATTATACTCAATAAAATTAACACGATGCAAACCAAAACATACCAGTTAGCGATGACAAAGAATTATAGACATTCAGATTTCAACACATGCTCTTTCCACCAATGTTACTGTTATTGGCAGATTTAGAAGATTTGCAAGACCTCAAGACAAAATTATTTGTGCTCTTATATTGTTTAATGAGAAAAAGACTTCAAGTTAGTTCTAATGCATTAAACATGTCAAGAAAATAAAATTTTTACTTCCTCTTAAGGGCTTTGACATTTGGAGAACGTGGGGAGGTAACGGATCAAGAAGCCAAAGCCTCAATTATAACACAAAGAAGAAAGGGCATAAAAATGTATTTCTTTGTATTGTTCATGACTTGGTTTGTGGGCTCCAGAAATGGCTTTGCTACATTAGTTTATGTTGGAAAGGTTCTCTTCAAAAGCAGGAGAGCTCTACTTTTAAATTGTTGGGGTTAACAACAAGGACTGTTCCAATTCCCATTGAAACACTCTGTTTCCAGGATGTTGACTCAAACTTCAGAATAGAAAAGATGAATAGGTATATTCAAAGTTGTCTGTTAATATAAGCCCATAGCTATGATGATAGATTTAGAAATGCTGTCCAAGACATGTGATGACAACTAGATATAGAAGGTGTTAATCTGTTTTACCGCTAATTGTTATACCAGAAGCATATGATGGAAAGGATTATCCTGTGTAGATGGATGCATTTCTCATGTCCTGATATCCCACAGGAATTAGGCTGCAAGTTTAAATGCAGTCATGTATTATATGGTTTTCTGAAGAACCAAGGCCTTTATTCTGTGGGGAAAAAATTAATCAAAAAATTATATTTATATAGTTAATAGTGAAAATGTTGAGCACTTGTAATGCTGGCTGAAGAATGCTACAGGTTTCTTATAAGATTCATCTCACAGGGACAATAACAGCTCACTTGAATGAGCCAAGTAGTCTAAACAACCCTTCTTGTGTTTTACATAGCTGGCATTGAACCAGTTCAAGCAAAATAAGAATCCCAGAATCATAGAGAAGCAGGGCTGGAAGGGACCTCCAGAGGTCATCTAGTCCAACCCCCTGCCTGAGGCAGGATCATCCCTGTCCAAACCATCCTGTGCAAACCACAATATAAACTCTACATAAGACTACCAGCCACTCTGACACAACACAGACCTAACACCCTAACCTGCCACAGGTAAAGCAGGGGAGCCAAGACAACCAATGCCCTGCCTCTTGTCACAACCCAAGGGTGTGATTTTTGTTTGTGTGCTTCAGCACTGCTGAATTATTTCCCGCCACTCGTAGCTTTCTTTGCAGGGTGCATTTCTTAGCTGCAGAAAGGAGATGCACGTTGCAAGGAGTTCCCGCCATTTGTATTCAGATTCGTGCCCCACTATTGGTCAGTTCTAAATTATTCCTACGTGGTGGCTAGCGATTGGCTTGCTAGCCGTATAAAAGGCTTGAGTGGTTTCCGCCCAAGTTGGAGGACTTCACGACCATCAGGAGGAGGAGAACTTCACATCTCGTGAAGATCTCTAAGCGCTGCGGAGCCTATTGGACCCAGCGTGTATTTCAAGAAGGCTATAGGGGTCTGATCAGCCTCTCGCCTCTCCCCGTCGCCGCCTGATCCCTCGACGTACCCTTCCCTGCGCACAAAGTTCCACGGAGCCTAGCAAACTTCGTGTGAGTGAATCCAGAGCTCTACCCGGGGTTCAAGTCCTGCAGTTTTTTTTCTTCCCATCGCCGAAACCCCATTGCGACGTCCTCCTGAGGTTTCTGTTCATCTCCCGTCACCGAAACCCCATTGCAACGTACCCATACGTTCTGCAGGTTCGAGTTTTTTGTTTTGTTTTGTAACCGCAACTCAAGCAAGTTTTCCTGCCTGCACCGCGACCATCTTCGGTGTAAGTAAAATAATCTTAAATCAACCACTAAGCGTCCGTGCCTAATTCTAGCATGCCGCCTGTCTTCCCTGACCCGGCGTGTCCGGGCTGCTGGCCACAGCCCGCCGCGTGAAAAAAAGGGCCTCGGACCGCTCCCGGCCCGCACACCTCTATGAAATGCTGTCAGTATGCGTTTAAGAGGTCCCGGGGTAAGGGACCACAGAAGACAAAATCCCCCAAAAGTCCATACCAATCTGAACCATGAGGTAAAATCCCTTCCTGATCCCAAGCAGGGTGATTGGTTTGACCCTGAGCAGAGGGGCAAAGCCCTTTAGCCAGGAACCTCCGGCTTTGGTCCCAGCAGAAATACTGGCACACCCCAGTCAAAGTCCCCAGCCTTGGCTATAACCAAGACCCAGTGCCTTTGAGGAAGGCTTAAAAACACCCTGACATGCGGCAGAATGGGAGGGGGTGGGAGAAACCAGCAAAGCCAGAAGCATGGGAAATCCCCACAGTAGAAGTTAGGCATAGCTATGCCTAGACTACGGGTGGGCAAAATCCGGCCTACGGGCTGGATTGGGCCCAGAGCAGAGTCCATTTGCCAGCAGTCCCTGCCCGCGTCACTGCAGTTGGTTTCCAGAAAAACCCCAGCAGCGGCAGTGTCATGACAGCATGGGGCCAGGGTTTCCATGGAGACCAGCCCCAGCAGCGCTTGCAAGGCATGCAACTGGGCATGGACCTGCCCTGGGGCTGGATGTTGCTGCAGTGACGGCGTGGTCCGGAACCGGGACAGAGCTGTGAACTGCTACCCGCATGGCCCAAGCAGGGATGTGCAATCAGCAGATCACAGCTCTGCTCTGGCTCTGGACTACACTGTCACTGCTGCAAGATCCCAGCCCTGGCCCCAGAGCAGCTCCCTGCCCAGCTGTATGCCTTGCCAGTGTTGCTGGGGCTGGTCTCCATGGAAACCCTGACCTTATGCTATCAGGGTGCTGCTGAAGTCTCCATGGAAACCGGCTGCAGCCACACAGGCAAGGGCTGCTGGGAAACGGAGTCCAGCTGCCAGAGAAATCTGCCATTTCACTCACCCCTGGTCTAGATCATCCCTGACCAGTGGCTGTCCCACCTCTTCTTGAACACCTCCAGTGATGGAGAGTCCACAACTTCCCTAAATCAGCATTTCCCAACATTTTGCATTCCATGGCACACTGGGTGAACGCAGAGGGGGGAGGCGAGCAGCCAGATGTGGAATGGGGAAGGGGGCTAGCGAGCATCTGGACACAGGGGGGTGGTAATCGGCACTGGATGTAGCCATGCCCTGCTGGGAGCCATGCCTCCCCAAGATTCCACGGCACATCTGGACATATCCAACAGCACACTAGTATGCCGCGGGACAATGGTTGGGAAACGCTTCCCTAGATAGTCTGTTCCATTGCGTCACTAGTCTAATAGTGAAGAAGTTTTTCTGGCTATCCAGTCTAAACTTACTTTGCTGCAACTTTAAGCCATTGGTCCATGTCCTCCTCTCTGCGGCAAGAGAGAAAAGATACTTTCCTTCTTCAGGAAGGGATAACAAATCTGATTTTCAAAAGGTACCCAGGACCCACAACTTTAGCTTCCATCAAAAGAAGCTGTTGGTATTCAGAACCTCTGAATATTAGGCCCATGGTACTTGCTGAAACTGTGCAAGCATAGAGATGAAGAGATTCTTCCTGATACACTCTACTAAAGCATAAGTCCCAGGTGAACATTACACACAAATTCCTTCAATAAAAGCACCCATTTTAAAAAGCAAATCTCATGAGAATCATTACCTTGGAAAAATGAAATTGCATGATTTTTAAATACATCTGTAAATCACTCATCATCATATTACCTAAGAATCAATTTGTTCATCCACATATTGCCATACAGAGTTGCTCCTAATGGGCTTTAGGTAATTAAAGTCTTTTTTCTGTTGCTGATGTGTTGGGGTGAACAGATCCCCAAGAATATTAAAAGGGGCAAAAGGTAAATGTATCTGTATCTTAAAATAAAGCTCTTTATCCCTTCTGGTATTTTGAAGAAAATATAAATAAGAAAATAACAAATCACTGAAGATTTCCTAATGCCTCTCCTTTATGATGTATCTGTGTAAAAATATTGTATTTGAAATTACTGAATAAAAGGAGTAGATCTGAGGAACTAATATACAGCTAGCTCCATCAATAATATATATTGAGTCAATGTGATTCCATGTCCTGAATATTCCCTTTCAGTCCAATTGAACAATCAGAATGATTATGTTAGACCCCTCTCCTATTTTATATTCTCCTCCATCTCGTTCCCTTTTATGTTTTCTAAAATTGACCTATAATAGGCTTCTTGTATCTCCTAACTCATCTCCTTCCCTGACAAACACTCAGAGGTTCATTAATCCTCCTATTAATATTTTCTGACCTCACAGCAGAAAATCAGGGTGAACTCAAAGAAACTCAGTGTTGTTGTGCCATTTAACTGCACAGACATGATTGTGCTATGTGAGGATTTTGACTCATGACTGAGAGACTCGCCACTTTGACAGAGATGCAGAAAAGCACAGGATTCCCTTATTTCCACAGAAGTTCAACTTCCAAACACACCTAAGTAATTTTTTACACTGCAGAGAGATGGGGGACCAGAGGAGGGTTGGGCGGGGGGGAAGGGGACGACTGAAACATGGTTTAAAAATCAACTTTCTTGCCTTTCTTTTAAAAAAGAAGTCAACATGCCAAGTGGCCTCAAAAAGGCTTGTAGTTTAAACGATACATTGCTAGAAAGTAGGAGATGGTTAAAACCAAGAGAGATACTATAAAAGGCTCTCTTGGGTTTCAAATTGCCTCAAATTCACTTAGCAGTCAAAAAGTCTAACTACAAGTACTACAAAGTCAGCTAGGTAAATAAAAAGGGGGAAAAAAAAAGATGTGTTGCATCTGGTGCCTACATTATCTCAAACTCTGCTGCTAGCTTTGTTTTTAAAGAATCATCCCCAGCTATATGGAATAATAAAACTGGTTTATATCAGTCAGTTTTTCAGATATTATTTCCTCATACATATGAGCAGATGCTGCGCATGCAGTAACAAGGGGCCATTTTACAGTATTTTGACTGATTCCAAGTATGCTGTAAAAAGGTGTATGGGGGAGAGGGAAAAAAAAAATCACAAAATGTCTTTGCTAACAGTAAAACTAACATAGGCCCCAATATTGCACTTACACACCTGAATAATTAAGCATGTGAGTAATCCCAATGAATTCAAAAGGAAAACTGAGGTGCATAAATGTTTGTGGGATGATAGCCATGGCTTTATGGTTCTTTATATACTGTTATCTTGAGGAAGTTATGGAAGGCAAGCTAATCTACAACTTCATCCTGAGTGATGCTAAGCTCTCAGTACCTATGAATATGACTGAGAGTTTCAAGTGCTTCTTTGCAGACCATGTCTTGTAGAAAAATATTGTTCAGATTATTGTAAAATCTTTTACATCATCCCATAACATGCAACCTCTCCTTATTTTTTTTAATTGAGCCCCCATAAAATTATAAGATATAAAATAGCATATCAACAAACTTAAATAGTTAAGAACCAAGGAACTGAGAGGCACAGAATCAGAAAGAAAAAATTTCCCTCTAGAATACTTCTAAAGATCGTATTGCCACAGAAGTCCTTGGCATGGGCTAGTTTCTCATATATGTAGACATGTGCCACAACATAATGTATTAAACAACATATCACTCACATACAGGAGGAATTTTTATAATAAAAGCGTTTGTAGAACTTTGATCTATGTAAAAATAAAATAATTTAAAAGGTGAGGAATGAAACTAGAATCTTTGTAGTGCACATCCATAAAGAGTGACAGAGAAATAGGCACTCAAGAAAGGGATGCATCAGAATAAATGTTTTCAATGCACAGATCCCCATTTTTCCTTCCATTTTCTAATACCTGATTTCTGTGAACCTGCACATTGACATTGGTTGATTAAAACAAGAAAAAGAGCCTTTTAATTTTTGGCATTTTGTTTTTCCATGTTTCACTGTGGCTGTTCCCACTGGTTACAGTGACAGAGGTTTAACAGTCTTCCTTCATCCTGGCCTCTGTGGTTTGATCTTTTTACCTTCTCAAGTCATTTAAAAAAAAAAGGTGTGCAGTTATCTGCTCACATCAGACTGATGGAACACCTGGATCAAATGCTGCTGTAATCAGAGCCACGGGCAACAAATGCTGGTGCTTCCCACTCCACTGTAAAGAAAGATATTGTTCCAAAGAACCCGACAACCACCATGATCAGAAGCTGCCACTGAAGAAGCAGGTAATTGCTATAGAAATAGGCAACTGCAGCACAGATGGACTGAAAGAGAAACACAAAACAAAAACTGTCATTGAATCATTATCGCATGATGGAGCTATTCTATGCTGATGATCATCATCATTACAGAGATGCATACAGACTGGCATGTAAACTTCATTTATTCTGGAAAAACATCCCTTTATCAGGTATTCAATTTAAAAAGGCTTCACCATATTTTTACATGTTTTAGTAGGCTGCACATAAAAGTTATTAGTTTTTACTTGTAGCAAAGATGTGGCCTTCCGTCTTTAGGCGTTAAGATGATATAAATGTAAGGGTTTTTATAGTATCATGTGTACAGTTCTCTGCTACTGCAACCAGTCACCCTCACACATAAGGTATACAAGGTATGGGCACAACAAAGCAATAACCTATGTAATCCTGTTCAGTATAAACTGCTTAAAATGAACTCTGGTAATACAGACAGCTATTTAAATAGTGTAAATGGCTTCAGCCATTTGCCAGATCCCATTGATTATAATACTGAAGGCACCAATTAACCTAAATTATGCCTGAGAGCTCATTTTTGTGGGAACTGTCTGTGTTAAGCAGTGTGCAAAACTGTTTACACCTCCTTAAGACACCTTATCCGGTTAGTCAGGGTGCCTTGTCACTTAACAGAAGCCTTGACAGGATTTAGCACTACACTGATAGGATTGAAATGGAGTAAGAAAATGAATTTGTCAGGCAATTTTCTGATTGTCAAACAAACCTGCTATATGACTAAAACTGCCTTAAGCACTAAAAACATATATCTGACATCGCAAGTGCAAACTGTCATATGTTGCTGCTTACTTGCATCTTTTTAAGGAGTCAACTTTGAACCAATACATTCTCTTTTACCTACTTGCCATTCTCCAAAGATACCTTCTAGTAAATAAACACTGACATAAAAAACCAAGAATCTATACATCCGAGTATGCTTCTGACATTAGAACAGAATCCAGCATATTTCTAGCTCACTCCCAAAGATCTGTGAAAGCATGATAGCGGAGAACAACATCGACTTGGATGAGGCCTGTTAGTTGAACAAGTTCTTTTGCACAGAAGACAGAACAGGCTCACATACTTTCCGGGAAGGATAGTTTTAAAATTTACTGATCCCATTAAAAAAAAATCCAACAGATACTATTTCAACAGAATACTAATAACCCATTCAATCAAATAACAACTCCACACACACACAGTCTGAGTTTGCTGACTGATACAATACCTGGACAAACTTAAAGATGGCAAAGGCTGGAGCACTGTCTTCTGAATAAAGGAACCCCAAAATACTGAGCAGTTGGGTGTTAAAACAGCTGTCTCCTAGCCCCAAAAGGAAACTGCAAAAAATGGCCAACTCTTTGCTGAAAGAAAACATGAAATCCAATTTAACAGCAATGCACAGATGTAGCATATACAACTACTGCATAAAACTGTCCTATGAACATACAAATCGAAACTTGTCTGAAAATTAGAAGTAGAAAAGAAAGTTAGCAGGATATAAATGTCAATGGACAACAGCTTAGGGGGGAGGTGAGTGGGGAAAGACACTTTCTCTCCTCCATGATTTTCCTAGTATGGAGGCCTAAATTTTTGCTAATGCTACAGTTGATTCTACATTAGATTGGCCACACCTGAGCTTGCTGCTTTTCTGCAGATGGGAAAGCATGGTAGGCTTGGTGGCTGCAGGCACCAATGCAAAACTAATGGAAAGCAGGGCAGATGTACCAGGCATGGGAAGACTACAAAAAAATCTTCCAAATAAAGAGGACTTAAGGCCGACTATCATGCTGTGGGCATTTTCAATTGCAGTTAAATATTTTCATACATTCTCATGAACTGTTATGCTTGCAAATGACCAGTTGTATTTAATCATTGGATTGCTTACTCAGAGCTCATTCTTCCTGGCCTATAGGATGGGCAAGATGGTAGATCAGTGTTTCATTAGAAAGGGAACAGAGCAGGCACTAGCGGGGGTGCAGACAGAAACTACATTTGTCACATGATCAGCCCCTTGAAAGCACTCTAAAACCATGCCCTAATAAAAGAACATGGCTGAAGAGGCTCTACTCATGTGACAAATTAACCCTCATTATATGAGGGTGCAAATGAAGATGCTCCAGAGCAGAATGCCTTCATTCATTTCTGTCTGCAATCTTGGGGCAGTCTTTTCAACAGCGCAGGCTGCTTTTCCCAACCCTCCTAAATGACACCAATCAAAACAAAACAGAACCCTTCTTACCTTGGATCCATATAAGCTTGGTCATTTGTCCCCTCAATGGAAGCGAGGGGGGCATTATTTGGCATGTTGAAAAAGATTAAATAAAAGGCTACAAAATGGACCACAATGCCCAGTATCACAACTGGGTTCCTGCCAAAACGATTGTTCTTGTTCACTAACCCAAAGAATCCGCCACCTAAAAGAATGAAAACAAAGGCATAATAATCAGCACTGAAGACAAAAAAAATGTTCAGCAGGCTTCCAATAAATCAGATATTTACACTGTTCTTCAAGATGTTTAAAAAGGTACATTAGAAATTTGTGACCAGTAGAGCTGACCCCAGTCAGGGAAGTCCATTGACTGATCAGGAAATATGGACATGTCCCTTGGGAAGTGACCATGTCAGCTCTCTGGGCTGTCAGAGCGGTCACTGAAAAGTGGAAAAAAGACCTCTGGGCTGGTGCCGAGTAGGGGACTCCCTGTAGTGTTGCAGCTGCTTTACTGGTGCTTGCCTTCTTCATTGGCATTGCAATGACATACAGTAACAGCTTATTTATTTATTCCTTCATTTTATTTTCTTAAAGAATAGTTTGATATAAAAATTCCAAAAATATGAACTGGAGACAATTAACTTAAAAAAAGCAAACATAAAAGAAATGCTAAAAACTGCCTATTAACGTTATAGGCAATAATCTTTGCTATCCTACAATTTATGTAGTCATTTACAGTGGTACAAAGTGAATGTAAAAGTAGCATTTTACATCCTTCTCTGCATTTATTGTACTTGTGAAAACGACTAGACAATCTGCACTGCGGTAATGAATCATGGCAGCATATTTCTGTTGTAGTTTACTTCCTGTTCATGAAATTTTTGCAGCTAGCAAAAATATGTACCCCTTTACACAGCTGTACAGAAACATTTTCAATCATCTCAACGTCTTTATTTTTTATCCCTACTCTTTAACTTCTTTAGACTCACCTAAAATTTCTCCTATGCCAATAAAAATACCAGAGAGTCCAATGAGGCTTTTCTCATCACTGCCAAATTTATTCACAGCACCGATACAGGTCCCATACACTCCAGAGAAGAATGTTAATTCCAGACCTTTAAGAAAAGACAGACAAAAGGTAAAAGCTGTACTATTATTTATGTACAAATTACTTGCCTCTAAATCCTCAAATTCCATAATCTCTCTCTCTCCCTAAAATAGGGATGGGCCGACATGCGTCATGCATGCCACAAATGGCAGAAGGAACCTCTGTGTGGCGCACAGCAGACTAGGGAGGGGACAGGCAGCACAGAAGCAGATAGGACAGAAAGAGAACGTCTCCATTTGCCCATATCGTGACGTTGCTACTGCGCCATGCTTTAGTACTTCCTTTTAGAAGTACTAAAGCACGGTGCAGCAGCAGCCCGTATTGTGCCGTACGCTGGACACACGGTTATTTTTAGCTCCTGCTTCGCTGTAATGGTGCACTATAATGAGGGAGTGCACTGCTACAATGAAGTAGCACAGTAGCTGCTGGTCACATGTAGACGCACGTAGTCGCTACCTCACTGCAGCGCACACCATGCTATGGCAACATAGTGTCACATGTAGACATGCCCAAAGAGGAGCAGATGGGGCAGGGAGGGCTGGACAGGAAACAGAACAAAGAGCAGGCAGGAGGCACTGGGCATGGAGCCAAAAGCAGAGCAGCAGGCTGGGCACAGGAAGGTGACTGAAGTGGTACTCCAGAAGACCACAGGACTAATCTGTGGTCTGTCTGCCAAAAAAAAAAGTGGTTGACCCCCACGGATCTAGAATATCAGGTGTACTCAGGCTAGCTAGGGTGAATTTCAAGCTGTGTAATGGAACAAGCATTTCTTACAAAACTCCTGTAACTCAGAACACAACAATCACTTCATAAAAAACTCCATGTCATAATAATCATAGCTAGTGTCATATATGCACGTGGGGTAAAATCCTGGTCCTGCTGA